GAATCGCAGATGGTGCTTGACAGGCTGGCAAAGAAAGATTTCCAGGGATGCTTCCAGGCTTGGCAGCGGCGCTGGGATCGTTGTGTTCACTCCCAGGGGAACTACTTCGAGGGTGATGGATGAATTTAATACCTGAGATAAGTGTACGGGGTTTTATACGCGCAGTCTGGAAACCTTCCGATCGCACCTCGTAAAAGAAAAATAATTGTTGTACCAGGAATCGCTTCCTGATCAACCATCTCGTACCTGAAGACTGTAGCCACTGACTTTTTTTGAGATCTCGGCTTGGTAAGGGTGGTCGCAGAAATTTGAGCGCCTGGAGGCGTTATTGTAATTGGAAGAGTCGCTGAAGGCAGTCCCAGTATGCTGGCGACAGACAACCACATTTTTAATGGGCAACAAAGAAAAGTCCAGACTTTGGGCATTAATAATGTAATGACATCTGTCCAGTATGCGTTTGGTGCTGAGTGCAACATGAACATTACCCCGTCTGGTTCGCACAGACTTGCATTAAACATTGTCTGTGATGACGTAAGCGCCCTAAGGCCCACGTACTTTCCCTTCGTCGTTGAAATGCAGTGGGGTACTACTAGACAATCGATTACTATCGTTACAACTACCTGAGCTATCAAGCTGAATGAACCTCTATACAAATCCATTTAAGCTAGTCCAAGAAAAATGGATCGTTATTAAACAATAATATTTGCAGCCCGTGTTGATGGAGACAGTAGTTAACGCCGAAACGTCGGTAAACTCCTATTCGATGAGCCGTTTGTGAGTAAATCTGTAGTTACTGAAATCAAAATAGTTCCGAGAGCAGAACCATTGAACGTTGTAATTGGAAACCAACAGATGGAGAATGTGGAGCATTTCAAGTACTTGGGAAGCATAGTCACGACGGACGCCCTATGCACCAAGGAAGTAAAAGCAAGGATAGCCATGGCCAAGGCAGCTTTCGTCAAGAAGAGGATACTTCTCACTAGCAAGTTGGGCTTGGAGATGAAGAAGAAACTAGTGAAGTGTTACGTATGGAGTGTCGCGCTTGTCACCGGAAAACTTTCACCTCAACACTGTTGTAACCAGATAAAACAAATACTTGCAACGAAGACCTTCTGGCAATGAGAATTCAGTTACCATCCAATTCCGATATTTTGTGCAGCAGTTACTAAAATCTGCAACTATTAGTACCTAAGGCCAGGTTGAAGGAAAGAGAGGACTAGGAAGAAGTTTGATACAGCTAACCGACGACCTTAAACAAGGAAAGAAGATGACGTTCCAGGAATTAAAGCGAGAAGCCGAGAATAGGGACAACTGGAGAGCTCTTTTTGGGCAGAGCAATGGACCTGTCGTAAGACAGAACACTGAATAATAATAATAATAATATAGACTTACAGTACCCGATTTTAACGAAATACGTCTCGTTGTTTTGGAGTCGAAACGAGAAGCTCTTGAATTTCTAGAACGCAAGTAACGTTTCGGTATTCTTTGATGCCTACGTTGCTCGTTATATCGGATGTGGTTATGGAAAATCTGTCGCTATTTTCAGAGAGACGTACTTTGTTTGCATGGGGGATTTAGTTTCTTTGTAAGTTTTCTTGTATTAGTTTGTTTCACTTCCTTTAACCCAATATAAATTCCCCAGCATCGCCGTGAAGATGGGGACAGAATGTTTCTCCGAAACCTTGGCGTCTACCGACGAGTGCACGCCAAAACCCAGAACATCGTTATCGTCGTGAAAACTTCGCATCTCATAAATTGTTATTTATTTTACGATATCAAAGGAAACACAGAAATACTCTGTAGTCAAAATGCAGATCGTTAAAGCAGGTGGCATGTGTTGTTAGCCGCTGGTCTTTATATAAGTCGATAAGTGGATACCAGCTACAGAGTAATTAATTCTTGGCTGTTACAAACCCTTAGATTCCTGCAACCCAGCAAACACAGAAGAGAGATGTGTTGCCTAAATCCGCAGGCTTCACAAACGAGTCTGAGGCAGCCAAAAACAACTAGTCACGAAATTTTGTCAGTGTAGAGAGTCTTGTAGACAACTCTTCCTTACTGATATTCCAACAGAAAGATAAAAACAGGAAAAAAGGCTATGAACATGAAATTTATGAACAGCATCGAAATGATAATAACAAAATCTCTCACGATAAAATTGGATAGAAATAAGGAGATTGAGATGTCAGTATTACATTTATTTGAACCTATGACGAGAGGAAATGTATCTATTGATTTTTTTTATTTGTAGTGTTCTGTCTGACGACAGGTCCATATGAACAGGATCCTTCCATCCTTTTCTCGGACTGGGACCTGTTCATATACGTTCTTGGCAGATGATCCAGAAGTGGTTTGCCATTGCCTTCTTCTGTGTGTGAATGGAGTAATTGTTGGGATGCCACGGAGGAAAACTCCGTGTTGCCTAGACCACGGCCTTGCCCAACACAAGTTATAAATTTGAGCACCACCGGGAATTGAACCCGGGACCCCAGGCTTACAAGGCTAGTGTTCTGACCGCTAGACCACCGTGGCCAGTATCTAATGAACCAATCGTTAATGGTGAACGAAGAATAATCAGAATAAGAGTTAACGCGGCTTTAAAGAGACGTTTTACTGTCATAGTCACCGTGATGACAGTAAAACGTCCCTCGTAAGAGCTATTTTTACTGTACAGCCAGGAGGATCCTCGTCTATTCGAGTGTTCCTACTTGAAACTGTTGAGTTAATGGCGAAGGAAGGGGGCAGGAATGAACGGCACTTGTGGAATTATGGACGTCTCGTAGGGGAACATATGAAAACCTTAAAAAGATAAGGAGGAACTTCTTTGGTTGGGTTTCAGTATATTTTGTCGTATCTCTTTTATCCAATATTTTCTAAGTATCATCGATATTATCAAAATGAAATGACATCTGAAGTTGATGCGGCAATCCTCGACTTATCAAACACATTGAATGGATATACGAATGAATAAATAAATAAATAAATTCACTTTTTGTATCTTAAGTGCGTCATGTTTGTGTTGAATCAAATACATATATTTATTTTACAGTCTGTACACAAACTTATTTAAAATAATGTTAAAATATTATAACATTTACAGTATAAAATAATATAAAAAATAAAATAATATAGATTGATAAACCTGAAGATGATGCCATAAAACATCGAAACATGTCGTCCAAAAACAAAAATAAAAGCGTTGAATAATGTAATGTCGTACTACGATAAAGGAGCGCCATAAATATAACATAATACACTTTATACTGTAAATGTTATAATATTTTAACAACATTATTTTAAGTTTGTGTATAGACTGTAAAATAAATATATGTAAATAAATTCACGTATCTGTGTTAGTTATATAGGCATGTAAATTGTTTATATGCTTTTCTTTCTTCCTTCGTATAAGAGCGTATATATTTGTGTGTGTCACGCAATAAGCCACGCACTGGATCAATACCTCGCCACGCCCTGTCTCCATTCTTGTGTGTTTTAATGGCATTACTTTCTGCTTCAACACCTAAGGTAATCAACTGTCAACAAAAGTGAAGTGAATCTCCGCACTGCGTCTAGTTCGGATACGAAGTCATTCAGCTAACAGGAGGCTCGAAGCTCTCAGAACCTTATTTTCAAAATGTAGGACCCTTAACCCTTTGAAGCCGAAGATCGTCTGAATGTTATTTATGAATTCAGTCCGTACCGCGAAGAAAACACTGCACCTCACCATTACGAAAATCAGCTGGTTAACCCTTTGAAGCCGAAGCTCGTCTTCATAATATTTACGAATCCAGACCGTACCGCGAAGAAAACACTTCACTTAACCATTAGAAGTCAAATCAGGCGGTACCACATAAGATTTAACAAAAGAACATCCCGGTCAAAGCCTTAAACAGCGTTAACCAGTTAATATTTCAAATGGTGAAGTGTGGTGTTTTCTTTGCGGTACGGACTGAGGGTTTTTATGCGTGAAAATTGTTTTTCTTTCTGTACTCTAAAAAGTAAGCACGCTTAGCTGTTCACTTCTTCCTCTCAAAACTGGTTTACACTCACGCGAGAATATACAAAAGAAAGATGGCTCGCTATGCGCTAACCCCCAACCGACCGACTACACGCTGAGCGTTTGACCAGACCAAGTTGTATGCTTTGCGTTGCACCCACGAGAAACTCACAGATAGTTTCCCACGATTTATTTTCGTGGTTTTCAGAATTTACGGTTGTTCTCCTGTCTCACTGTAGGCCTTATTCTTTATCCCACAAAGTTAAACTGAATCGTATGTGTACGTAATGATGTGCTGTCACCTTGTGGTTGTGTGGAAGGTTGTATCTTCTCATGCATGTTACATCAGCCACATTAATTGACAGTTTTGAAAGGTATGGGGTATAGAACGCGTGTAGTAAACGCTGACCGTACTAAAAATCCCTTTTACTTTGTTTCTGGCTCACTAGAGCTACATTTTATGTCACTAATTTTGCTGTATTCCTGTGTAAGGAGTACCACTGAATCATGAAAGACAGAAGAGTTTTTATTTTTAGGATTTCAAGGTGTTAGCAAACGTAATATGGCTAACACAATTAACATGAATGCTCCACCCCCTGTTACTTGATTTTCAGAACACCCCTTTCTGAAATATAAACATAGGTATGTTCTGCGTATAATTTTTCCAAAAACCAATCCAGAAATTACAGTATCTTATCGTTTTTTCATTTTACTGTTGTTGTAATTAAGTTTTGTGGCTGAGAAATTAACCCTGCCACTGCCAGTGAAGCAGTTATATCAAGAGTAAGGTTCTACCTGGCATACCATTACGACATCGCCATTGCTTAGAGGTTCGTTTCATTCTGTTGTGTGTAATTCATTAATAGGCTATGACATTACCGTGTAAAATATGGACTTTCTGATTCCTATCTTGGAATTTATGATGTCTTGTGTTCTCCAACTTTTAAAAAAGAGCTTGACAAAGGCAGACTCAATATATAATTGGATTTCTCACTGTTTTCAGCAATTGCCGAGGATGACACAGTTGGCCCAGTCTACATCAAGGAGCCTCCGAACAGGGTAGACTTCTCCAACACGACAGGTGCGGTAGTTGAGTGTTCAGCACGTGGTAACCCTGTACCAGAGATCATATGGGTGCGATCTGATGGAACTGCAGTGGGGGATGTGCCAGGACTCAGACAGGTACAGGACGAACTAACAGATATTAAAAAGTCGTGTTGTATATTTGGTTTCCGAAGGATTGTACTAGATCGTATGTTCCCAAACTGATATAACCCTTTAAAGCCAACGCTCATATAAGTAATATTTAATAATTCTCTTTCTATTCAACATGGTTGCGTCATGACACCCGTGGTATAAGGGGGGTTTTATTGTTTGATCTATGGTGATAGCAGTTTCAAATAGATACCACTTGAAATTGAATTGGGGGGGGGAGGGGGTTCAGAATGAAAATATGTAAGTTTTTAATATTGCATTTAATTGTGTTGATGAGATTTGAATTTCTGTAAATAATTTTCTGTGTTTTTAAATTATTCAGACATCAGCAAAGATTGTGTTTAGAAATTTATATCTTAATTGCGTCATGTTTGTGTTTTATTGATACAATATTTTTATTTTCCGTCTATACACAAACTTAAAATAATGTTGTTTAAAATTATTTAAAATTATAACATTCTCAGTAGACACTGCATCTTGTTACATTTTTTGTATTGGCGACATGTTTCAATGTGTATCACATCATCATCAGGTCTATCAATTTTAATATATT